CCTGTTTAGTATACCCCCTAAAAAAGTTACGAAACTGGGTTTAAATTTAAAAAGCAGCTTAACGTATTTTATTCATAATCAATTTTAATCAACACAATCTGTTTTTTATACTTATTGCTTATCATTCTAATACAATATCGAGCGAAACACCCAACTATTACAAAAATTGAGAAATCTGAAAACCTTTGGTTGCCTTGATAAGTGCTTACAATGGACAAGAATAAGCCAAAATGATACGAGAAAGAAAATGACAAAATGAATACCAATTAGATAGACGATGAGATGTTGCTTAGATGATGTATGTACATACGAGTGTTATTTAAATAATTTAAATAATATATAGGTAAATGTCTTTCAAGCTATTTAAACTTCTTCAACATCGATTCAGATTGACGAATGGTTAATAATTTAAAATCTTGAAAAAATGAAGAAAATCTGAATTAACAAATGTATTTTTGTATTCTATTTCTGTATTGAGAATCTTTTCTGTTCTATCTAGTTCATTGTTTTATTTTATAATTATATATATATATTTAATATTTAACATAATACTATATACTGTATATTTGATAATTGCAAATTACTTAGAAAACGATATTTTTATATGTACTGTACGAAAAATGCTATTGATTAATCCTAAATATTACGTAATTTTTTTTACAAGCACAAATGATGTAAATCAATACAATTATTAAATAGTGTATGTTTACAAATATAAGTGACTCTCAATACAGCAATAGAAGAAACTTTTGATATGAGATTTGTAAATCCTAAAAGAATTTATAATAAAGAGCCTTCAATATAAGAAAATCTCAATATAAGATTTTGATTGGTCCAGGCAAGTTATTATATTAAGAGTCACTTGTATTAATGATTTAATCGAAAAAATTGATATTAATGCAGCAGAAGCTGTTACTGCATAAACAATAATAGTTTCTAGTGTGTTTTTAATTAATATGTATATGTCGCATTTGAAGTAGAGATTTAATATAGGGTATTGCTATTGCCACCCCTTATTTTTACTAATGCCGCCCATTATATAGTCTAACCCTAATTAAGAATTAGGGTTAGGAATGTTGGAGGCCAATCAGATTAAGCGAGGCGCTACTTCAAATAAATCACTACTTCAGATGCGACATATATATAACTAAATTGACCAAGATTGACATTCAAATCTAGTTTAATTATATATAATATAGGTATTGTCGAATAGAAAGAATTATAGATAATGATGGGATTACATGACCTAGAAATTAAAACGTCATACACCGTGATTTATTTTTAAAAAATCAATTCTTAATAAATTATTAAATGCGACAATTAAGTATAACTTATTTCTAACCCATCACTGGTTATAGGCTTCTAATTATAAATATAGAATTTTGTATTCGGAAAAAATTTAACCTCAGTTTCATAACTTTTTTTTAGAGATATACTAGGGAGGTTGGTTGTCGATAAATGGCCAACTGTACACAAAATATAATTGAAAACCTGATTGCAGGTTTTCTTTGACGGCACTCAAATAAACACAGGTTGTAACTAGGAATATGCGGAGTATAAATTTAATAGTATTCAGATCATATCATCGCATGTTTTAAAACGGTGAAAAATGTTTTTTTTACCATCCCTAGTTGTAACAGAATTCTAAAATGTACCTGAGTTGCTAAGGAATCCCATTTCAACTTACAATTAAATTAAATGTATTACAAATCACTGTATTTTATCGGGTATGTTCTTTTAGAATTCAAGATTTAAGTCATTTTTAAGATAGAGTTTATTCATAACGTTGTATATTGAAAATTAGTTAAAAACAGTTTTTACATCTCTAATTTATTTCCAAAGAGTGCTTTCATTTGTTTTTACATTTACAATGATTTTGCCATACGCTTTTTAATATTATCTACTTGTGAAGAAGATTGTATAATAGACACTTCTTGAACGCTTATAAGCGTTGAAAGAATAATAAACTTAACGGATGCAATTCATTAGCATTATACGCAATTCTAATAAGACCGGATTTGCATTCAACTATATGTGTCATTCATCTCGCAGAGGAGTGTCCTTTTCGATTTTTGTTTGTTTGTATTTGCTATATCTTGCAAACTTTAATACAAAAACCAACGTCATCATGTGTATTAGCCGATTTGTTGCTAAGATATTTAGAAAACAATTCTTTTAATGCAATTGAATACATTATTAAGGTAAAAATGGATTCGCTTATCAGGGTTTTACCACAAAATCCCGACATCTAAAATCTTGAAAACCATATTCCCGACGTGACAATTAACATTTAAAGATTGTAATCACATTAACAATCATTGTTAGACTTTAAATTTTTAATTGTCACATCGCATGATGTCAGTATTATGGTTGTCGAGATTTTAAATGTGGTAAAACTGATTATCAGGTAGAGTGTTCCAAAGAACAAAAAAAAATGAAATAAGCATGACAATTTATCATGATGATGTTGCATCTAAAGTAGCGATTTATCTAAAGTAGCGCCTGGATAAAATTAAACCCCTGAAATTAGATTTTCATGCATACATTAAGTTATAATTTTAATCAGGGCGCTACTTTAGATGCTACTTTAGATAAATCGCTATTTCAGATGCGACAATTGATAAGAGGTAATTTAACTATTGTCGATTACAGTATCGAATTTAAAATCAAACTTATGTCGCTACTAAATTAAAGAGGAAACGCCAATGTTACACGACTTAATCATTGCAGAATGATCTGGTATTGTAAAATAATTTTCATATGTTGCACACCAGGTGAAGAATCAGTCGTATAACATTGACGTTACTAAATTATCGATAATTATGTTGTAAGTGAAACCGGAATTTTAGTGGAAACCGAATTTAAGTGGATTTAGGTTAATCTAGGGTTAACCACTTAAATTCCGTTTCCACTTAAAACATAAACACTCATACCTTAACCCTAATTTAACTAGTAAATTCTAAATCAACTTAAATTCTGTTTCCATTTACAACATATATACATATCCTTATAATAGTATGGAATAGTGCAAATACATATTTAAGCGATAATAAATTGGTTGTCCGGTTATTTGGAAAATTACTTTGCTGTTTGCTGTTTGCAGTGATTATCATTTAAACAACCCAATAAAAGAATCCTAAAGATAAAAAATAAAAAATACAACATATAAGGTAAAATGGACCAACTGTTTTTAAAATTCTTGCTTTTAATATTGTTAGTTATTTCAACTGTGATATTGCTCATGTTTGTAATTCTTTGTATTTTAAATTATAATTTATGATGCCTTGTAAACTTTTGTTTGATTTGGCCAATGTAAGTCATTTCTCGGTAATGTATACTAAATGCGATATACTAATAAGATATTAATTAACTTCATTGTTCCATTAAATGTTCGAAGTATGCTATTCAGTTCTCATTTAATGTCGCGGCTGAAGCTTGAAATTAAGGACCTCGATTTAAAAATATAAACCCTACAAAAATCCACTTATACTCTTTTATTATCAAAGCTACCCCTAATCTAATTATTAAAAAAAAGCTTCCACAAAAATTTAATTTTAAAATAATTAAAATTTCAAGCTTCAGTCGCGACACTTAATTTTCTATTTACGTTACTTGGACCATTTGTTAACTACTATATATGCCTTCGTCCTTGGTTTCTAGTACTGCGTCACACAGCTACCTTATTCACTAATATTGAAAATCTAGTTACCGAGATTAAAATTAGTATTATCATTACAGTATTACTGCATTAATCCGATATCAATAAAACATGCTTTTATTTTGTACTTTTTTTTTAATCGACATTTTTTTTATGAAATCATTTTTAATGTATTTGTATTTTAAAAAATTGTAAAACTTTTTTAAGTTGATTTTGTAAAGCCGAAATTACAAATATAGAAATAGATATTAATTACATGAATTATCGATTTTAAGTGATACCAAAATATTATACTTTTTTTTTTGAAAAATGATATTAAACCATTTTTATAATGAAATAACTGCAATTATAAAATTATTCGTCAAATTATTAACTTCTTTACCGATTTCTTTTCTTTTTTTTACTATACTTGGAAAGAGTTTAAAATATATAGAAAAAGAATCTGTCAAAATAATCAACAATAATTTAACTGAATGAATTAAAGACAATGAAAATTAGTAAAGAAATTATTTGACAGATGATACTTGATCAATACCTACAAATAAATGGGGGTTTTTTTATATACATATTCAATTTATATGCTAATATATAACGTATATAACGATGAAGGGTTAGCAAATATTTTTACAATTAGTACTAAAGGTTAGATATCTATGTACTAACTATAACTAAAATTATTTTTGCTAGAATTATTTAAGCCAAGCTTTTTAAAATATATATCATATTGAATTTCAACTACAGTTGAACCTCTCTACAGTCACACCCTCAGTTCCGTGCTTATAAAAAATTGTGCTTGTATATGGAGAGTGACTGCATAGAAGGCAGATAGTATAAATAAATTATATGCTTCGAAAAAAAAAGTTCATTTAATTAATGTAATAGGAATTAAAATCGTCTAAAATTTTCTTAATGGTTTAAACGTTTAATTTTTAGTATAAATTTTTTTTTAGGATAGGGTTAGTTTCGATAATAAAAGGGCATATGTGGATTTTTGGTAGTGTTTATATTTTAAATCAGCATTCCTAATTTCCGTCAACCGTGATAATTAATATACTATAATTTTTATTTAGAAAAACTTAAATTAAATCTTTGAAATTATTATAATAAATTTTGAGAACAATTTATTTAAATTATTAAATAATATTACAATAAAATCGTAAACAAAAATTAGTGTTAAATTAATATAATAAATAACAAAAATTTACAGTCAATTTAAGAGAATCTGAAAAACAAAAGTGGATTAGACGAAATAAATTAAATTTTAAAGTGTTTTTTTAACACTTTTAAAGAGACTATTAATAACATTTTCTAAGTAATTTTCAATCTTCATCAATATTCATATTTAAAAACTTTCATCCGAGTTTGAGTCAGAATTTTGATCCGAGTCCGAATTTGAATCATCGTCTTCTTCAAATGTACGACCAAAGTCTTGAGTCCAATAATTACCAGAACGTCCAAAACCACAATCCACATAATATGGATTTAAAAGGTTATTTCTATGTGGCTCAGAATGCATCCATCTATAGTATTTAATAAAAGAATAAAATTTAAAAAAATACCGTTAAAACCATATGAAAAATAAAAAATACGAAAACTGCTAATAATATAAAAATAAATAATAATAATAACCCATCCATAACCGAATCCTCATCCGAATATCCATTAGCTATATTTTCACCAAGTGACTCCCAATCATAACCATTATTAGAAGCTCTGGTCGGTAAATCACCATTATCATCATCATCATGCGTCAAAGAGTCAATTTTATTCATATATTCACTGTGACTTTGAGCGCTATCAGTAAGACAACTAAAACATTATTATTTAAAAAGAAACTATATTAGTAATATATATCATAAATTTATATATCGCATTAAAAAATTCAAAAAAAGGGATCTGGATCTCTTGCAGTATAGGTGACCCTACTTTAAAATCAATTGATTAATAATAAAAATTTTTTTTTTAATTAAAGGGATCACCTATGCTGCAAAATATATGTATATAATATTGCTATACATACTGCAATATACAAATTCATAAAATTTACCTATCCATTTTAAGTGGGGGTACACCTGAATCACTGCGTACATTATTAACTAGTTGAAGCATATAATCACGATTTATACTATTTCCACGCCTTGAACGTCCGTAAACAATGCCAAAAAATAAAAATGCCAAGATAAATAAATATTTAATCACTGCCATTTTTGATATGAATATATATAATAGATAATCGATTTTTTTTTTAAAAAAAAATAAAAACTTATCAAAACTTAGAAAAAGTTTTAGAAAAGTTTAGAAAAGTTTGACCAAATAATTGGGTATTTTTTTTAACCTCGATATTTGTGACTTTGTCAAAAAATTTCGAGTTTATTTTGGAAAATGTCACTTCTCTGGTCCGTGACAATAATGCAATAATAAATAAATTGTTGAAAGAAAAGGAAAAAACTTTTATATCAAAGGATTATCATTTGATAGGAATGTGTTCTCGACAATTTTTATTTCTCGAATCTATCAGACTCACAAAGTAAGTAAAATAGAGGAGACTTGATTTTTTTTTTTGCTAAGGATATAACATTTTATACTTTGAAGGAAGATGCCGATGTAACAATAATATTAACTGTTGCGCTATATTAAATGTACGTATGTAAGTTACAAGCTTTAACCAGATTGGTATTAAAAAGTACGAAAGTAGACTTTTACAAATCCTAATTTACGTATTTCTGTATTGGTATAGGTAAAGTAACTTGATTTACCAAACAGGTTTTACATTAAGCGTAACGGTAAATTAATGCTAGTGTAACGAGATACAATTATTAAAGATTCCAAATTGGCATTTGATTTAATGAAACGAATCATTATCATTGTCTTTTGATACAAAAAGATAAAGTTAATTATTAATGTATATACAAGCATATCGATATCAGAAATTGAAACTTTTTACGTACAAGATACACGTTATTTGTGAAATTAAATAATCTACAGTAATCTACATTAATCAGCGAATCTGCACAAATGCCAAACGTTTTGTCATGCTGTATCATGTGACTCAACACAATATCAAAACATAGAAGATCGCAGATTCGCCGATCAAGATTGCAAATTAATAAATAATAAATAATTTCATAAAAATGAGAGTATTATTGTAACACACAATTAAAACACCATTAAAACACAATTAAAACAAAGAGAGTAAAAAAATTATGATAAAATTGAAACAAATATAATAAAGTGCTATAATGCTTTATTTATACAAATTGAAATTTACATGCATCAGTACAAGGAAAAAAAACGTCAGATAGCCAAATGTTGCATATGCTAATGTTGAAATTCAATTATCTTTCTCATCTTTAAGAATTTTCATAAGTTTTTTTTTTTTTTTTACTATAATTTTTCTTTAATCCTCACTTTACTTAATGCTATCTCACTTTCTGCCACAAAATTATCAGTGTCAATGTTAATTTCAATATTGTAAGGGTTACAATTTAACTCTTTTACACTATTATTGCTACTATTTGCATTGTTCAAAAAATCACTACCTATAGAATTGGTTGTTCCATACTTGTCAAAAGTCTTGTACGCATAAAAATGCGGGTTGGAAATTGTCGATGATGAATGATGACGATTATAATAATAAGTTTGAAAAATATTATTATCATCGTTGTTACCGTTATTATTACTGTTAGAATTATTATTATTATTATTAGTGTTGTTGTTGTTGTTGTTGCGATTATTATTATGATTATTATTATTATTATTCATCTTATTGATCATTTGTTGAGAATTTCTGATGCCAATTGAAACTGTTGAAGATGATGGTGGACGTGAAGATGATGGAAGTGATGACATGGATGATGGGACATGCATATTTCGAGAATTGGGATAAAAACGTTTAAGGAAATGAGAAGGAGATTCTGCAAAGGACCAACTCACGTTGGAATCGATATTACGAGGATGCCAACCCTCGTTCACTATATATTGGATAGCGTTACCCAATCCACCAAAGTGAACACCTTTTTTGAAATAATTTGATTAGAGTTATATGAATAATTATATTGAAACATTGGGAAGCAAATAAAGTGAAAATTTTACCTATAACACAGACAACGTATATCCATGCTGAGTCAATCTATTTTTTTTTAAAAAAAGTTGTAAGAATAAAAAGAGTTAAAGATATTAGGAATAAAATTAAATATGTTTTTACTAATTTTCTTACTTGAAAAAATTTAGCGGCACAAAAAATTTGCACCGGAGTCCACTAAAAATATGAAAAAATAAAAATTAAATAACATAAAAATAATAAATAATTTAATCTTTCAAATAGAAACCAAGAAAATTACCTGCAAAATAAATACAAGAACGTAGCTTATTATTTTATTGGATACACGCTTTTCAAGATTACTTCTTTTTCTTGCCATTTCACTGCCGGTATTATTATTATTTCTAATTCTAACCTCATTGGCATCCAAATTATTTTCATCAGCATAAAACTCCGTTGCATGACCAAGTAAAGTTTTAAGAATTGAAATATAACATATTATTACAAGGAGAAATATTAAGGTTGTTAAAGTGAATGTTATAATTGGTATTAACATGCTATTTGATTGCGCTGCACACCTTGCAAAAAGGAATCACAATATTAGAATAAGATTAGAGTAATATTGGAATAAAGGTAAAAAAAAAAAGTTTAGAATAGGAATAAAGGTAAAAAAAAGGTTTAAAATAGGAATAAAGGTAAAAGAAAAGTTTAGAATAGGAATAAAGGTAAAAGAAAAGTTTAGAATGAAAACAAATACAGCAAAAAAAAACAGACAATAAACGAAGAATAAAACGACAATAAAAAAAGAATAAAACAAAAGAATAAAGCGAGAATTAAATAAACAACATTTAAAACATACCAATACTTTCTAGGACCGTAATATGGACCAGCAATTAACTGAAATAGTGTAGCGATAGCCAGAATAATGAACCATAATTTATAATCAAATTTTCCAAGATCGAAATAAAATTGTCGACAAACACGAAGATAAGTCGTTATGCTAGGAGATCATAAACATAAGCAAACACGTGACAAAATCAAATGCGGAGTATGCTTAATATAAACGCAGAGTACAATACCTTACAGTACCATATAGAGCCAAATTAACAGTTATGAAAAAAAAATAAAACACACTCAATACTGTACACATGGGTTGATCCCAGACTTCTGCATAAATAGCTGTGTGAGTCTATTAAATTTATAATTTACACTAGTTTAAATTTATTAAGTAATCTTATACGAGTGATAAAATAAGTGATAAAATTATGACTTACGATATTTATAATTCCAGCTATATCAATTCCCGCATCTATTATAAAGGTATTAAAATAATTTGATTATTACTGTATTAACATCAAATATAACATTATTCCCGTCTCATTATGATCGTATGACGGGGATTTATGTGTTATTAATCATAAATCTTTTTTATTTCCCCTCGGGGTGATAACAGGCTTTTGTTATTCCCCGAAAAAATTAAAATGTAAAGGAAGACAAAGAAATGTGATAAAAACAATTAGTATCACAAGCCCCCATAATTTCGCCATATGAGACATTTGTATTCCGCCGTGCCGGAGAAATAATTGAAATACTCCCCCAGCGGCACACTTATGGGCGTAAAGCACCCCACGTATACCATTTGGGAAATATTTCATTATTTCCACCGTCCCGGGGAATTATAATATTAATTTTAATATTGATTCAAATATTAATTCAAATAATAATTCGAATATCATTTTCTAATATTCAAATATTAATCTAAACATCATTAAACTAAAAGCTTACCAGCAATGGCAGTGTAAAAAGGTAATCTAAAGATCATTGATAAACTTCTTGATGATATTTTCCATTGCAGCCAACTCCGATAAAAAACGTACGAACAACCGATAGTATTAAAAAAAGCCATTATATAAGTAGTTATAACTACAAGTTTAAAATCATTAATGTTTTCTGGACTATCAAGTCGAACAGAAGTGGCAATGTCACCGCTGTTAGAGGTAATATATGTCGATTTCGTATCATTTGTGTCATTATTGATAATGTCAGATGACATATCAGCAAGGGTAGGTGTCAATGTAATAAGGATTTCATAGAGAACAAGTATTAAAAATTTTGATGATTGCGTCATGCCAAACATGCATCGGAGAACGGATGAAGGGGAAAGAAAAATGAAAGGTATCTATCTATCCTTGTAAAAAAAAAAAAAAAAAACAAAATTATACCAAGTTATAACAAGAAAAGTAACCGAAAAAAAAATAAGTTTTTTTAATGGATTTATTTTGGTATTTATAATAATCCTTAATGTTGATTAAAGGGGTATAAGATTATATTTAATTATGTAAGATAAACCCTTGGTGAGGGGTGAGGTAAAAAATATGAATATTTACAAAATATTTATCTTATTTATCTTTCACGTTTTTAGTACCGATTGTTTTTCCCAAATAACTTTGTTCTTTTTCCGAATGCATGCATAATTTTGAACTCATCGTATTCACTCAGCCTTAATTTCAATGTCAGCTTTAAATATTTCCCTTTAATAGTTATAATCATTTGGTACACCAATTAAATTTCATCAATTCATTTTCCTGAATCCTTTTGCATGCAACTAAATTGTCGATCAAAGGGTCCCACCAACTAAATCTCTTTCAATAAATGTTAGACTTCTGTTTGTCACACTGTCACATGTAATAATTTCATCAAATGTTTGTTTGTTAAGATTTTGAAACTTAGTTCTTGTTTATATTCAATGAAAGGGTCTTATTCTATAATGAGTATGGTTTTTATTAATAATCTTATAACACGATTACAGAACGTACGAATTCTCGGTCCGTTCTGACAAAATACTTTTATGAGTTCCATATATGGGATAGATTTCATTTGAATCGTAAGCCATTTAAGGGTATTACTTATTTATTTATTTATGTATGTAATCATGCACAAAAAATGTATTATCGTTATCCTATTGGAAAAAATATATCAAATATATAAATTTGTATAACTATTAATGCAAAGAGTGCACGTGATCCGATCGTAACTGATTACATACATGCTGATACATACCGATAAACTGTATTTTTTTGAGAAGAGGTTATTCTTCTTTCTCTTTACTGATCTCTTTACAGGCATCTTTACGGACTTCTTTACATACTTCTTTACAGATTTCTTCAAATTTTTAATACTGATTCCATCACTCTTTTTACTTTCTTGATTCTCTTCTTTTTCGGTTTTATTTCTATTCTTAACTCTTTCTTGAACTAAATTCAGAAGTTTACATCATTAGACGAATAATTCGCCTTGTTAATTAATCAATCAACTTTATACACCCAAACTTTAGATTTTCTAATATGTGTCTGATCTCACTTGATATTACTAATACTACTAAGAACTCTCAATTATTGCTATAATAGACTTTTAGATGATTATTGTTTACTGTTATTTAATCTAATATTCTCTTCTCACTACTGTATTATTGTAAATTTATTTATATAAAATAAAATGGTTGTGATCGATTACTAATAAGGAATCCTCGTGTTTTTTTGACGATAAGTTTTAAGGAAAGTATGTTGTTGTTGCTTATCCTTCATTTTATTTTTATTTTATTTGTTTTTTTTTCAATTTATTCCTTGGTTTAGATTTGTTATGTTTATATCTTACAGTAAAACCCTTTTTCTATAAAAATAAATAACCAATCGATATCAAATCATATATTTCTGTATTGATCTTACGCGTCATATTTATATTTACGATAGGTGCTAATATTTTTGTTTACGTCAATAGTTACATATAAATTTGTAAATAGTGTCAATCACATCAATTACATCAATTGCGTATTAAACCTGTTTTAACCTAATTCTTCGTATTATTACGTCAATATCGTAAGGTATTCTGGCGTACTTAAGCTCTATTGCCAATTAAATTTTTATAAATTAATACTTATTTCTAAAATTCATTCAGTCCAACTAATTATAAACTAGCCTATTCGAAAATGAAAAAAAATGGTAATAATAATAATAATAATAAAATTTGTTTTTTTGCAACTTTTTTGAAAGCTATTTTTTGAACGTTATTTATGAATTTTTAGATCGATACATGATATTTAAAGACTATAAAAAATAGACTTCGTGTATCTTTTAATTTCTCCTCCAATATCTGATAAAATTAGACTTTAGTAAGTGAATGTGTTCTACTAAGGTGCTTTATAAGATGATAACGTTAGAATTTCACATATTTCTCAATAACCAATAAATTTGCCTCGTATATGTAATAAACCATAATAATTAACTTCAGTTAAATAAATCTGCAAAGAGTAATTACAGCTGTTTTCAAAAAGATGTGAATGATCAAAGATCACCATATCATGGAGAATTCATGATATTTCTCAAATTATCCTTTTTTTTTATCTCTTGCCGAAAGATTCTCACCAATTTCCTAATTGAAATAGCCTTTATAGTCTAATAAAATATACTATTCTGAATTAAGAGTGAATTTTTAAAAAATTTAACCTAAAAACAATGACTATCTCGAGTCTTGTAATAATTATACATGTTACGTGATTTGCTTTACAAATCAACTATTAGTCAATTAAAAATTATATTGTTTTAACGCATCTCTTAAAGTAAAACTTTTAGAATGTCTTCAGCATATAGCAAAGATTTAAAATGACGTATAGCATTTCTTCAGCATAGTGGTTATTCTAAACAACAAATTGCAGATATTCTTTTGTTAGTAAAGGCTTAATACATAAAGTAGGCTGAATTATATTTTAGTGTGTACTAATACATTCAATAATCATGATGTTATAATAATATGCTGTAGAATGTAATTCATCAATAAATGATCTCAGAATTTATCTTTATTTACTTGATATTTTCTCAATTAAATTTAGATTTAATTATTGATAAAATTTTATATAATTAATTATGTATTTGTGAATAACTTGTTATCTTCTTAATAAAATAATAATTGTATTTACATAATCAAAAATAAATAAACATCATTATCAAATTGTATTTCATATCTTCTTTTAAAAAAAAGAAAATTTTAATTATTGAAATTGATTTTTTGTATTTTTTATTTACACAAATAAATCATTTATTATTATAATACCAACTTAATTTGCATTTATTATATTTAGTAGATATTATTTTTAAATAAAAATTTAATACATTTATTTTTATTTATTAAAATCTTTATTAATAAAATAAAAAATAAAAATAATATAATTACTAAACTAAAAATTGAACTACAATATTTTATATAATTATTAATTATATAACTAACAAACAAGAATTTACAATTTTTTTTTATTTCTTATTATTTTTTTGTCTTTTTGACTTTATAATTAATAAAAATAAGTGGTTATTAATATAAAATAATTTTTAATCAATTTATATATTAGATACATCAATCTAACTGTTGTTTCTTATTATTATAATTATATATATTTTATTTTTATTATTTTTAGTTTTTTAATAATTTTATAATAAATCAAAAACTCTCCTCTGTAGATCACTTGACCAAAATTTGTTAAAAAGCAAAACACAAAAAAACTACAAAACCTACTAGGAAACAACACTTAGTCCCTTAACAAAAGAGGAAGAGCAGCAAAATTTACATCTAGATAAAAAACAAAGACACAAATAAAAAAGTTTAGAAGCAGCACAGCTTGAAAAAATTAAAAATTTTAATAAAAACAAAAATTTTGTAGAAATTTTGATGAATTTCTGTAACCCTATTGTGAAGATCAATTTAGGTTACACAAAGAATATGGAAAATAAATAAAGTAAACAAACTGCATGTAAGCAAGATAGATTACTAAAATATAGCACGTAATATAGCAATAACTAAACTAAACTAGCTAATATCTAAAGCATATAATAAAGATATTATAGAGCATATTAAAGGTATAGGAGACAGAAATTACAGATATGTAAATTACAAAATATTAGATCAAGTTCTCAAAACACCAACAAGAGGTCCAAGCAATATAGAACATATTGCAAAAAATTTAGCAATCTATAACCCAAAACACATTACACTACAGGACTTGCTAATATATAACCAGATATTAGAAACCTTGAGAATAGCAGAAATAAGCTGACTTAAAAAAGAAATAATTGACAAGTAGGCAGAAAAACTAAAGTCAATAAGTTATAATCAAAACTTATTTGAATATAATACAAATATAAAAGAAGAAGAAAAAGTATATTAAAAAGAAAGTAAAAGAGATAAGATAAAAAGTTTAATTAAAACTAACAAGACAAAAAAATTTACCAATAGAGAGCAAAACCAAAAAAAAAAAACAATCCTAAAGCATTTAAGCAAGGATTAAAAGTACTAAAAAAGCAAATAAAAGGGCTTAGTATTGACACACTATAATATCAAACAAATTAAGCTATTAATGATTCAGAATACAAAAAAAAAATACTAGTAAAAAACAAAAAAATGAAATTAGAAACTATGGATATAGAAATTTCAAAACAAGAAGATGAAAGAAACAGTAAAGAAGATGAAACAATGTTTCTTATAGGTTCAATCAAACATAGCTATTAGTCTCCAGATAATTATATATGTAATAAAAATAAGTTCTTCAAAGTAAATATGCCAACATATGTCCTGTCAGGAGAAACTAAAGAAAAAAAAATAATGTATGTCCAGTAGATCTTAGGAAAAAACCATTATATTAAAACAGTCAAAAAGGTATTCAAAAATAAAAATAATTGGATAGAGAAAGATTTTGACTGCAAGCATAGTAGAGATGCGACAATAGACAGAATCAAAAAAAAAGAAGGAAAATAGTTAAAACTCATATCAAAAAAAACCAAAGACAAAACTCAAAATATAGAATGATATAAAGAGCATAATACTAAGAGAAGAAAAGAAGAAAGTACAAGACAAATAGAAACAAAGAAGAACAATAAAATAGAAAAGTCAAATATTAAAGTTAAAGAAAAGAAAGAAAAAAAGCATAAGAATACAAGTCAAACAAAAGCAAAAATTAAAAATACAAGAAGCTTTCGAACAAAAGAAGACTTGAAGGCAGAAAACTATCTAACAATTTGGGATCTACTAGTAAATATCAATATAGAAGAGGTAGAACACATGTGCAGAAGCATCAAAGATGCCAAA